ATATGTAGGGAATTTGGTGGACCATTTACATTAAATCGGACGAAAATATATATGGAAGCTATATCTAAATCTGAACCGATTTTCAAGAAACTTAACACACATCATTCTATACCTAATTTAATACGCTGTGCCAAAGTTCGTGCAAATCGAAAGATATATAGGTACTTTGGTGCACCATTTACATTAAATCGGACGAAAATATATATGGAAGCTATATCTAAATCTGAACCGATTTTTCCCAATTTCAATAGGGTTCGTCCTTGGGCCAAAAAAGTGACCTATGAAAAATTTCATCCAAATCAGATCATAAATGCGACCTGTACTTTGTTCACAAAAATACATGGACGGACATGCGTAAGTCGACACAGTGATTTTATGCATATTCTCAAAAGGAACCATGTGTCTATCTCGTTTCCTTTAGCCTGTTACAAACATATGCACAAAGACATAATACCCAGTACCACAGTGTGGTGAAGGGTATAAAAACGTGAGCGCGAGAAAATCGAGATGTACGGGAGTCAGAATGAAGTCCGTAAATTTTACCAACGAGTAAAACACCAAACCGAAGGCTTTGGTGCAGGCACATCCTCCTGCATTTTGAAAAGCTTCTGGTATCAAATTGTGGCGGTGAAGAAGATACTCCGTAAACAATAAGAGATGACGATGTACATTGTATTCCACCTAGCCATGGTCTGATTAGCAATTGGTCGGCTGAAGAACATAAAACAGCAGGTGCCGATGGATTACCAGCCAAACTATTCATGGCCAGTGCTGGTCAGGAACATGCACCAGCTGATTAGTACAATTTTGGTAAAGGAATACATTCCCAATGCTTGTAACCCTATCATCCTATGTTCCGTGCACAGGAGGAGACAAGTCGATATGTACCAATGACATTATTGGACTATGCCAAAGCGACTTCAGGCCTAGCAAAACCACCATCGACCAGATTTTCACAAGATCCACGAAAAACACATCAACACATTCCGCCTTTTCGTCGACTACAAAGCCGCATTCGACAGCCCAATTCGCTCAGAGGTGTCTAAAGTCATGTCTGCGTTTGACATTCCTGCAAAATTAATACGGCTATGCAGGTTAACTTTAACTGGCACAAGATCAGCAGTTGAAGTCGGAAAGGACCTCTCGGAGCCCTTCAATACCGTACGAGGTTTCAGACAAAGTTTGTCGCGAGACCTTTTCAACGACCTGCTGAAAAATGTCATACGAGATGCAAATGTGGACATAAATGACACTCTGTACACAAAAAAACCGACGACATGGACATAATGGTTCAAACATTGCGAGCAGTAACAGCCACCTTTGAAAGAATTGAGAATGAGTCTGCCAAAATGATTGTGTCAACGCGCAAGACATCCAGTAGACTCGGCACAACTGTGGAACTTGAAAAGTACAGCTTCGAGGTAGTGAACAATTGAACTCAGGAGAAGGATATTGTTGGCCAACGCTGATACTACCTCTCGCCAGACCAGAATCACACTCTGCAAGACGCTGATACTACCTGTGTTGTTATATGGATCTGAAACACGGGCATTTGCTCAAGCAGATGAGTCAGCTCTTGGGGTGATTGAGATAACATTTCTTTGAATGATCTAGGGGGCGATCTGCGTCGACAGTGAATATCGTCATGAGTTGTACCATATATTCTCGGACATCGACATAGTCTGACGTATCGAGTTTTTGTGACTACGTTGGATAGGTCATATTGTGAGAATGGATAAGGATGCCCCAGCACAAAAGGCATATAAAAGCGAGCCAACTAATGGTTCACGCAGAATGGGGAGGCCACGAATTCGATGGGGAGATCGGGGGGGACACGAATTCAATGGAAGGATAGAGTGGACACCAAACATTTCGCAACATGGTATTTCATACTGGAAGAGCTGCTGACGCATCTGGAAATCTTTTTTAAGCTCGTTGTTCTGTCACAAGCCAGCTAAGTAAGTAAGTTTTGTAAAATAAATAAGTAAATAACTTATCTTTTAAAATGTATGAAAACCAGTTTTCAATGCCACATATCACTCCAATTGATAACTTTCAGAGGGGATACTATGTTCGATAAATCCATTTATTGTAGTGTTCAGCGGCAATTAGATCATATCACAAAAAAAAATTTGCTGTCGAAACAATTTTGAAACTAAAACTATGGCTTCTTTAAAATCAATGCTTGTCATTTATTTCTAGAACGTATGAAATGAACAGTATTGCCAATGTATGAATGAAAATGTTTTTGTCGAATATTCTTGTAGTAGAATAGAAATATTATGAAGCGTTCGTCAATGTTATATAACAAACACACGATTTTGTTGAAAAGTTCGCCAATAATGTAAATATTGAATATTAATATTTATTATTATGACAATATTGGAATTTATTGAAATTATAATTAATGGCGGTTGATTTTTTTAGAAATTTCTGAAACACTATTGCATTTAGTAGAGTGTATAGATATGGAATCCTGAAAGTATTAATTATTTGAGTATAGGATTGAGGTAGCTTTCAAAAAATCATATATATGTGGAAAACAAGTTTGGAATTAAAAAGACTGTTGGAGTGTAGGATTGCGGTAGCTTAGAAAATCTGTACTTATGAGTACGAAAAGTACTAAATGGTATAATCACTATACAATAATAAACGTAATTGTATGTGGTACAAAAATTCACCAAATTTAAAAAAGTGACATTATATGCACAGTTGTTTTTGTAATTGAAAAGCAGTCAAAATGACCGCTTTCGGCAATCTCGTGTTAAATATGGTACGATTTGGATTTAAGTGAACGGAAATTTATGATTAGTATGGCTGTTGCCATATGCTTTGGTGTAGGCACAACTTCCTGTAGAGATGAAGAAAGAAACCTGGTGACAGATAAAGACAGTGTGTTGAGGTTCTGGAAGGAGCATTTTGCAAAGCTTCTGGTATCAAATAGTAACGGCGAATAAGATATCCCAGAACCAATTAGAGATGACGGTATAGATTATATACCACCTTGCCAAGACGAGATCAGAATATCAATTAGTCGGCTGAAGAATAATAGAGCAGCAGATGCCGATGGATTACCAGCCGAACTATTGAAGTCAGTCGGTGGTCAGACGCTGATCAGAAGCATGCACCAACTGATTAGTACAATTTGGCATCCTGTGTACAAATCAGCATCCTGTGTCCCGTGCACAAAAAGGAGACAAGACGATATGTCTCCTTCCCATCGCATATAAATTGCTATCCAGCGTGCTGTGTGAACGACTGAAGTCAAGGGTCGATGGCATTATTGTCGACTATAAAGCCGTACTCGATCTGTACTTATCTGTTCAGAGATATTTAAAGCCGTGTTTGCGTTTGGCATTCCTCCAAAATTAATACGGCTATGCAAGATAACTTTAACTGGCACAAGATCAGCAGTTAAAGTCGGAAAGGACCTACCTTTAATACCGAACTAGGATTCATACAAGGTAACAGTTTGTCGTGTGATATTTTTAACATCCTGCTGGAAAAGGTCATAAACCAAACAACACTTGCTACTCGCATACGCCGATGACATCGACATAATGGGTCGAACATTGAGAGCGGCCTCCTATGAATAAATCGAGTGGGTCTGGCAGTAAACGGCGATAAGACCAAGCTGATGGTATCAACGCGCTAGACGTCCAAAACTCTCGGACCAACTGTTGAACTTGAAAACTACAGCTTCGAAGTAGTGGACGATTTTATATACCTTGGTACCTTCATAAATAAAACTAATGACATCAGTTTTGAAATTCGGAAAAGAATCGTATTGGCCAACAGATAAGTATGCAGTTTAGCAACAAGGATACTTCGGGCCAGACCAAACTCACACTCTACAAGACGCTGATACTACCCGTGCTTTTGTATGGATCTGATCTTGGAGTGTTTGAGAGAAAAATTTTCCGAAAGATCTGTAGACCGATCTGCGACGACGGTGAATCTTGTCGTAGAATGAATGAGTTGTACCATCTATTCTCGGAAATCGGTATAAAATCGAGCTAACTGATGGTTCACACAGAAGGGGAAGGTCAGAATTCGATGGAAAGAAGAGCTGCGCACAAGACCGACGCGATTGGAAGCATTTTTTAAGCTCGGTTTATGTAATAAATGTTCTGGCACAAGACATCTAAGTAAGTATACTTATTTTCTAAAAGCAGATTTAATTAATTATTTCATCCAGTACAATTGTGAACAGCAGGCGTGACAGAGGCTGGCTTATGTTCTCGATGTTGGGAATTGAGAGTTTTGTCTCCTCGTACTCTTATATTTTTTTCCATAAAACAAATAGTTTAATATAAAACTTGTTGTGCATGTATGTTCAACGAATTAAAATAAAAAACATTCATCAAATATGTTTGTAAAAACTTCCATCGCATCTAATCATATTACTTTGTTTTTGGGGTAAAATCATACCAAAAACAAAACAAACAATAAAATGTCTAAGGTCATGGTTATTTACAATATTCATTCATTACAAACTGACTTACAATTTTCAAACATGGCGTTATACACGTATTTTTACACTGTCTACATTATATATTTTCGAAATTGTTGTACAGTGTTGTTAGAAAATGTTTCAACAACAAAATGCGTGTCAATAAAAAAGTAGACTATATAGCCATGCTTGTTTGTCCCGCCAACACGTGACGTATGTATGTCTTAAGTAAAAAATAATATTTTGTTTTCGTTGTTTGTATTGAAAAATATATAAATATTTATATTTTATATAATGACACTGGATGGAAATGATATTGAATTGCATTCGCATGGAATACCTTTTGATTTCGAAACGTAAATGTCAAGAAGAAGAAGAACAATATAGAAACACGAAATCCTAAGAAAATAAATAATACAAATTGACAATTTCGCTTTTTAGTTGCTCATTTACAATTGTTGTGTCGTGTTGTGTCGTTGACGTGCACGTTGTCTGGAAATCGCGCGTATAGCATAATTTTTGGATAATCATAATCGTTGCGTTCGTCATGATTTCCTATCTATACAATGAACTTAAAGAACATTTCCAAACAGCGGGTGGAAGAGGTAAAACAACAACATATTTTAAATACAATTTTAAAATATTTTTGTGATTTTCAAAAAATATATTCTTTTAGATCCTCGCACAGCAGATTTGCCATTATGTAACAGCTATGCAGCAGTAATTGGCATAATTGTTGTCTATGTATTATTCGTTAAGAAAATTGGTCCAGCCTTTATGGCCAAACGGAAACCCTATAATATACGATGGCTTATTTCGTTATATAATCTGGCACAAGTCGTATTCAATGCTTATGTTTTTATAAGGGTAAGTGAGAGATTTTTTTAAAGTCTATTTAAAATCTGGTTATTTCGTCGGGTCTTATGATCATAACATATACAAACTCAGTTATTAAAAGTTTTTTTTTTTCAAGGAGTGGTGTCCTTAAAAAGTCGTGAGGTCCTGGATCTGAAAATGTCATATTTACAGCAAAATTACCATTTGATCTATTACCTTGGATTATGTGAATCAATGGTGGAGCTCCAAAAGGAATAGGAGAGTTGGATATTCTGAACGATATAAATATTGGTGTTATTTAAGGTTTTTCATAATTTTCAAAGGTTGTAATCGTTGATTTTATACCACACTGTGGTACAAAAAATATCCATTTGTGTTGTTATTTAGCATTCTGAGGACATAACTACAAGAATTTTCGATATTTATTTTTAACAATCTCATCTAATTGGAGAACGAGCGATGGTACGAGACACAAAAGATTTCACATTTAAATTCTGGAGTTCTCTTACGATAGCCACTTGTGGGTTTTCAGTCAAATATAAATAAATCACACTATGACGCTTGAATTCCACCAAATACGCAACTTCTGGCAGAAAAGCTGTCGTGACGAACTTTAAATAACCTCCACTTTAAATACCCTCCAGTACACTTTTGAAATACGTAAAATCAGGACTTAGCAAATTGCTAAATAGCCAACTGGGAATACTTAGATTGAAAAATGGGACTACAACGATTGATCTTGACACGAGGGCTATGTATAAGCATGCATTTATGTTGAAAATGTTCTGTGCAGTTTTTTTTACCCAATAAAGTTGCGTAAGGTGTGGTAGGAAAATGCGTCTAGAATCATCAAAAATACCTATATAGGGGCTAGAACATTCGTTGAGGCTATACATAAGTGTCGACCGAATAATGGGGGCTGCGTTAAACCATATCTTGGGCCAATTATAGCAGAGATGTTACTACAAATTAAAATTTGTCCAAACTTCCCAGAATACGGAAATTTTTCAGGTAACGTTATATGCGGTCTACCCTGAAACGTGGACCAATATTAATAACTTTTAGTAAGGAGAATTCCTACCCAATGATATCCCAAAACAAGTAAAACAAACAAAACAAGTAAAACAGGTTTCATTATTCACTTTATATAAGGTATATATTTTTATCAAGGAGGTTTCGGATTTAATGTTGATCAAATCGGTTATTCAGAACTTCAGATTAAATTGATAAGTTTAAAATATATTGATCTTTTGTGGGGGAGGTACCAGAAGGAGTGGAGGCGGTCCCATCTTCGGACTTAATGTAGGCTTGATAAATATAATAGGTTGCCCAAAATTTGGTTCACATCAGACATTTCATTCGCCGTATATTGGATTTATAAATATAAAAATATTTATAATTTGTGGTGGAGGTACCAGAAAGAGTGGACCAATGGATCCAATCTTTGGACTTGTTCTAGGCTTGGTAAAGATCGAAGAAAGTTTGGTTCACTTTGGACATTTCATTCGCCTGATATTGGATTTTTAAATATTGAAAGCCAGAAGGAGTAGAACAATCGGTCCCATCTTTGGACTTGATCTATTGTGCAAAATTTTTTTCAAATGGGATACTCCGTTCGTATTATAAAATTAAATTTCAGCAAAATTTTGACCAATTTGTGCGAGAAGGCTTCAGAAGCAGTGGACCGAATATCCCTACCGTCGAACATGAACTAAGCTTGGAAGAAATATTACGATGTGTGAATTTTGGGTGGAATTGCTACAGCCTTCAGAATTGGCAGAATTGGTTATAATTTGGTATTTCGGCCTCTTGAAGTGTAAACTACCTTTTCTAAATATATATATATATATATATATATATTTATAGGTTTAAGTTCTCATGTTACTCCCCTATAAAGGTTCCGCCCATGATAGAATGACTGCTATTGGCACTCCCAATTCTTGGTGGGTAACAAACTTCTGCGAAGAAAATGTTCTATATGGGGCCCACATTTTGTAATAATCCCATTTAAAGATTCCGTCCAATTTTTAATTTTTGAAGGTTTTAGCCACATTTTCCAATGAAAGTAAATTGTTATCCCCCTTACTTGGAGGCTAGAAATATTTTGGTTAGGTTAGGTTCATATTTTGCTGCAAAGGTTTTACTTTTTAGACGTAGCCTCGGAATATAATGTCTCAGCAAGATCTACACTTAAGGGAGTCACCTCATATATTTTCACTCTATAGAAAACCTCTGGAAAATGTTTTATCTGCGAAAATCTTAATATTAGGTTGGGGAAAAAGAAATCCATTTTTTGTTATGTGTTATATAGGACTTTATTTAATATGCTTCGGAATGTCCGATTTGGAGCAAACATGCATATGGTAACTTCATATTGCCTCTCTCATCTCAGTCCTGTCTCACCACAATCCTTTCTAGATAACAATTTTTTATCATTAAAGAAATTTTGCAATGCATGAAAAAATTAATAGTCGATTGGTGCCAAGTCCCAACCAAGCTCCCAAAGTTTCTGGCGAGTCACTGTAGATGTGTGTGGCTTAGCGTTGTTCTGGTAGAACACGACACCTCTCCCGTTGGACAATTCTGGCCGTTTCTGGTCATTTACTATCTTCAAACGGTCCAGTTCTTGACAGTAGAGATCAGAATTTATCGTTTGGCCATATGGAAGCAACCCATAATAAATAATCCCCTTTCAGTCCCACCAAATGCATAGCAGAACCGTGCTGGCCGTTAGTCCTGGTTTGGCCACAGTTTAAGGTGCTTTACCGCTCTTTGACCACGATCGTTTTCGCACAGGGTTATCATATGTGTTCCATTTCTCATTTCCAGTCACCGTCTGTTTAAGAAAAGGGTCTATCTCATTCCGTTTGGCCAAGGCTTCGCAAATCGAAATTCGATCCATCCTATTTTTTCTGTTAATTGGTGTGGCAGCCAAACATCGAGCTCCTTTTTGAATCCAGCTTTGTGTAAATGGTTTAAAACAGTTTTATGGTCGATTTGTATCTCCTGGGCGATGTTACGACTGCTAACATGCCGGTCAACTTCAATTTACGGATTTATTTTTCCCCAAACTAATATTTACTGAAGACCTCTGAAAGACCCTGTATTTTAATTGAAGACATCTGGTTGATCTCCTATGTGTAGCTAGCAGATCTAAAAAAATACTTCTTAGGCGACCGTTGGAAGGTCTTCTATTTTGTTAAAGTTTGTCTATAGTCAGTATAGACCTCTGGTAGACATTCCAACTGTAATTATAAAATATCGATCATTGGAAGTTTTCTGTGTATTGATCACTTCTTAACACTTTACTATAGTTTTCGGTCTAGACCAACTTCTCTGAATACTAGATATTTAGAAAGTCTTCCATTCCTTGAATATCTCTGCAAAATCTTCCCAGAAGATCTTTCATGTATTGAAGACATATCAGTGAAGTTTTTTTACATTACTAATTTCGTACCATCCTAATATACACATAAATTAAAAGATCTCCATAGATTAATTAAAATTTATGTTTTCAAGAACTTTAATAATCTTTAACATGTATAAAAATTATACTGTCCGGCAAGATGATTGGACTCTACTAAGAATAGCAATAGAATTCATTTGATTAGTTTGTAAAATCAGCAAAATAATAATGAAAGTGCAAATAGTATCGAACGGGCTGTTGTTGATGCTGACAGGAATATTATGTGTTGCGAATGGGATCTTGGCGACAAGCACAGTACATATAGAACAACAATCAACACGATCAGAATTCATTGTTAACCCTTTTAGTGTCAAAAAAACATTTTTGTCGAAATAAAAATCTAAAATTTTGTACTTAAAATCGTATGAAGGCACAGAGTTTAGAAAAAAAGCCATTCTTATTTTAAACCTCGGACAGTTTTGCCTGTCTTTCAGCAAAAACAAAGACATCAATTGTAACCGTACTTAGGATAACCGAAAATTTGCAAAGGAAGAGAGTAATTTTAAATGTCGAATATATTCGACAAAAACACTGAAAGGGTTAGTAACAAATCACTTGCAGTATAATCGAATTATGGCTATCCCTGTGAAAATTACTTAACCTATTTCGTATGCAAAATGAGCAAGATGAAATAAAGGGACCCCCGTTTTGCTGATGCATTACCTCTTGTGCTCATCGGATATTTTCGTTTTGAATAGTCCGAAGAATGGCTTGCCGTTTATGTTAGCAGAGGCTGGCTATGATGTTTAGTTGCCGAATTCCTAACCTGAGTACTTTGCCGAATTTCATAATCTGAGTATCTGAAAATTAAAATTTTGTTTTCTCAAAGCGTATAAAAACTCCTGGCTGGAAATTTATCAAAACGGAGAATGCACATAAAAGCCTCGCCCGATTTTAAGTATTTGGAATGCTTAACGCATAGTGGATGGCATAAAAAGTGCGACGTTTTGTTTTTTTATTTTTCTCCTTGATTTTTATTGATATTTTTTTTGTATTTGTATTATTTCATATTTCACACTGCAGCAAGACACCTTAGCTTAGTATAAATTATAAATTTATATTCTAAATAATATATGTCAGACAATGAACTACTAAATACAAATATACAATACATTTTTATGTTATTTGCAGGTTACCAAACATTTTGTATTCCATAGTAAATACAGTTGGTATTGTATGCCCAGCGATTACACTGACTTCAGCGAGGATACGATGCAATTGCGAAAATATGGATATTTTTATTTTCTTAATAAAATATCAGATACCATTGATACGGTAAGTATTATTTGGATAATAGTTTTTTTCAGCAGTTACTAGTAACTGACTCGAATCATTTCAAATAAAATTTTGATTAATTCCATATTTTCTTCTTCTTTTCTCCAGCTTTTCTTTGTGCTAACCAAAAAATATAGCCACATTTCGCTGTTGCATGTCTACCATCATGCCACCATGATATGGGGTAGCTTTTTATACATGAATGTTTTGTTTGGTAAGAATTCTTATAATACAAAGCTCTTTGTCAAAAATAATAGATTTGAAATACATCGAGGATAGGGTGAATCGTCAAAATGTGACAAACTGTGAATTATATGGGGTATAATCAGTGAGTCAAAGTCAAAAGTATTCACTTGGTGCCGTCCGTCTGTCCATTATAATTTGTAAACTCGATACAGGCCACAGTTATGGACCAATCGTCACGAAATTTTGCATTATATATTCTGGCCAAAGAAGACCCTTATTGTTTTTAGTAATGATCGGTTAATATTTAGAGGATAAAATGGACCAAAAACGTTATTTTTGTCTGTTTTTCTGGTGGCTCTAGAGGTCACAATTATGAGCCCAACATCACGAAATTTTGCATGGAGTATCAGGCCAAAGAATACACTTTGATAAAGATCGGTCAATATTCAGCGAGTGAAATGGACCCTGACTTTTGTGTGAAAAGTGGCAAAATTTGCATTCTATGGGGTATATATTTACTCCCGAAGAACATAGACCCGAGAAGGTGACAGTATATTCAAGAGGAGTGGTTGAACTTTAAATCTTCCAATTTTGTATGGCCGTATGTACCGGGATAAGGTTGTTATACGTAAATATTAAAGGTGATATAGGTATTCTGATATTGTTTAGTATTACCATTACCACACTAGGGAGCGGAAATGTGGCGCTGACGGCTAGGAAATTTTTGATGATGATTGTATGATATTTCGGGCATTAATTGACAGAAAACTTTATTATCAGCCGACCATCACCAAATTTCCATGACGAAGGCGATCTGATGATTTTAAATAAAATGTTTTGATGAAAATAAAAAAAAAATGAATCTTATGGAGTAAATTTTTACTTCCAAAATCATTATTCGGAAAAGATGTCTCACAGCGAAAGGTATCCAAGTTAATAGTTTTTTTTAACGGATTTTTTATGGTTACTAGCAACCTTCCCAAAATGTCAGATTTTACCAAAATGTCTGAATTTTTCCGCATTCTCTTTGTAAAGCATTTATCAGACTTGGTATGCTTGAGATGTTATGTCTTCTAATATTTTTCTCCAAAATACTCCTTACATTCCTCATACATTATTATCTTGATAAAATTGAAACGTTGTCCCAAATCCCACTTTTTCAGTACCTTGTTTCAAATTATCTTTTACTTACTTATCTGGCTTGTGACAGAACGGTTGTTCCATAACCTGAGCCTAAAAAAGATTTCCAAGCGCGTCGGTTTTGTGCTCATCTCATCCAACTTGAATGGCCATGTTCCGAGATTTTGTCTTCTACTTGATTTTTCCATCGCATTCGTGACCTTCCCCTTCTGCGTGAGCTATCACTTGTCTCGCTTATATATGCCTTTTGAGTGGGGGGATCGTCATCGATTCTCACAACATGACATAGCCAACGTTTTCGCTGCAGTTCGATCCGCCTGACTATGTCGATGTCCGAGAATATGTGGTATAGCTCATGGTTCATTCGACGACGATATTCAATTTCGACGCAGATCGTTCCATAGATTTTCCGGTGAATTTTTCTCTCAACCACTCCGAGAACTGCCTCATTAGCTTGCGCAAGTATCTCTGCTTCAGATCCATACAACAGCACGTGTGATATCAGCGTCTTGTAAAGTGTGAGTTTGGTCTAGAGGTGACCTTGCTTTTGAGTTGCTTACACAGATTATTGTAACATCTGTTGACCAACACTATTCTCCTCCGGATTTCAAAATTGATGTTACTAGTTCTATTTAAGGTAGTACCGAGATATATAAAATCGTTCACTACCTTTAAGCTGCAGTTTTCAAGTTCTAAAGTTAGTTTGAGTCTACTGGACGTCTTGGGCGTTGATAGCATCAGCTTGGTCTTCTCACCATTTACTTGCCGGTCCCACTTTGGCAGACTCCTTGTCAATTCGTTCAAAGGTGGCTGTTACTGCTCGCAATGTTCGGCCCATTATTTCACATTTGCATCTCGTATGAAATTTCTAGCAGGATATTATACAAGTCACACGACACACTGTCACCTTGTCTGAATCCTCGTTCGGTATTTAAGGGCTCCGAGAGGTCATTTACTGCTGACCTTGTGCCACTTAAAGTATCTACATTGCCGTATAAATTTTAAAGAAATCCCGAATGCCGACATGGATTTAAACACCTCTGAACGGATAGGACTGTTGAATGTGGCTTTATAGTCGACGAATAGGTCGAATGTGTCGATGTGTTTTTCGTGGGTCTTTTCAAGGATTTGGCGCAGTGTGAAAATTTGGTCAATGGTGGATTTGCCCGGCCGGAAGCCGCATTCGTATGGTCCAATAATGCCATTGGCCATTGACTTCAGTCGTTCACACATCGCGCTATATAACACTTTATATGCGATGGGAATGAAACTTTTTCCTCTATAATTGGCACATATCGCCTTGTAGGCAAATTGCACTAATCAGCTGTCTCCTGACCACTCATCTTGAATAGTTAGGCTGGTAATTCATCGGTACCGGCTGGTTTATTGACCTTATCTTGGCTACGTGGTATACAATCTAAATTTGTCATCTCTTATTGGTTCTAAGGGTATCTTCTTCACTGCCACTATTTGATACCAGAAGCTTTTCAAAATGTTCATTCCAGATACTCAACATGATATATGTATCTATCACCAAGTTTATATAAATATTGATTGTTTTATTTCAATAATTTAAAGTTAGGACCTGCATGCTCACATATAAAAAACAAGTGGATACTGTACCTCACTGTGCATTTCTATTCCGCCTAGTATGTTTGATATTGAAAACGTGATACATCGATCCAATTATTTGTATTGGTCCACTTTTAGGGCAGCTTCCATATAACGATACCCCATATTCGGTATTTCGAAGTGTTTGGGCACATTATTCAAATACATGGTTGTAATTTATTAAAAAGCAAAAAAAAATCTCTATCAAATTTTAACCGATTTAGACGAATTTTAGCGTAACGTACCGTATCGAGTTTCGAATGACGTTTTTTGTTAAGTTTCGCATAAATCTGTACAGTTTTAGATATATCGCCTATATGTGTGCTCTTATGTAAATAGTGCAGCAAGAATGCTCCTGGCCCTGTCCGACTTTTATACTTTCCTTACAGATTTTAATTTAGTTTTAAGAACATCTATTTAATAACAAACCTAACAATGTTCTTTTTATATTATAGCATCCAATATCTCCGTTATTGGTTATGTAAATGCATTGGTGCACGCTGTCATGTATTTCTATTACTTCTTAACCTCGCTCAAACTGAATTTGGACCTAAACAAATGGAAATCGCGACTGACAACATTCCAACTGGTACAATTCTTCTACTTTGCCATCAGACTGTTCATTGTTCTCACACACAACACCTGCGGCCTGCCGAATTTTTGGCTCTGGGTTATATTTGTCGAAAATATTTTAATGATTTTATTGTTTTCGAATTTCTACTATAGAAATTACATTGTCAAGAAACCGAAGTCGACGAAACCGGTAAAAAGTAAATGATACTATCGACACAAATAGAAACTAAGAAATGTAAATGAGTACAACAATAAAGAAGAAAAAACTGCATTGCTAATAATATTTTTGTCTTAATTTAAGGAATATTCATATTATAGAGGACAATAAATAATATACGTTACTAAGGATAAATCCTGCTAAAAGTCCACGTTTTTTCATTTTAAGAAGAAATTGCGACAAAAGGCGATTTGGCCTTTTAAACAGTAGGAATTTACAAAACTATTAACCAATCCTCATATAAATTTAAGGAACATACCTATATTTGTTCAAATTTACAAATTGACACTCGACATTAGGACGTGGATTTCTTAAAAAAAATACGACACGTTTTTTACGGCGTGTATTTTAATACGTTGGAGACCATTAGCCACAAATCGTGGATTTGTTAAAAAAAACTATTTTTGAGAATAACCTAACATAGATAAAAAACACATATTTTTTAGAGTAACCACAAGACGTAGATTTTTAAAAATATAATTTTTTGGGTGTAAAAACATATTATTGAGAGTAACCTTACGAGTGCAGTTCGGAAATTTCTTAGCCTAGCAAAAAAATAGTTGTGTTTTGGAAACTTCCATCTCTGTTATGAACACATGTAAAGTTTTGTTTCGATCTGGCAACTCCTTCATATAGAAACAGCCCTTTTACTTAAAAGTGGTAAAAATTTGAATTGAAAAAAATGAATGATATATTTTTACTGAGATTTGTCAAAGAGGAAATCTCACTCGAAATGTTGCCGATGAATTTATCGACGAATGGTAGTTAAAAGGGTGAGGCATCACCAAAGCGGCCATCGCCATATAAAATTCGCCAACGAAAAGCATGTTTGACCGGTAGTCGATGTATTTTTGTGGTAGTCGGTAAATTCATCCATGTAGAGTCGACTACCTTTACTGCAGGGAAGTGTTCAAAAAAGACGCATCCGCAATTTTTTACAATGGAAAAATTAGAAAGGCGTGCCTTTTGAAAACCTTGTTCTATATAAAGGAGTTGCCAGATTGAAACAAAATTTAACATGTGTTCATAACAGAGGTGGATGTTTCCAAAACACTTAACTTTTTCTGTTTATACCGCGCTTTTTGTGCCAGACTAAGAACATTTCGAACTGTCCTCGTAATGAGTAGATTTTTTTTTAAATATATTTTTGAGACTCAACAATAAAGCATGTATTCGAAAAATATGTTTTCAAAATATACTCAACAATAAGACGTGGATTTAAAAATATATATATATATATATATATATATTTTAAAAGCTGGAATTAAAAAAAATATATTTTTTTATATTTTTGAGGCTCACATTATGGAAAGCATTTAAGTAAAATATATATTTTTGAGATTCAACAATATGGCGCGGATTAAAAAATATTATTTTGAGAATAATCAAAATACGTGGAGTTAAAAAAAATTGAGAATCAAAACGGGCGGATTAAAAAATGTGATTAACTAGAAGACATAGATGAAAAAAGGTTTTTTAGACTAACAAGAACTGGTGGATTTAAAATAAATATTTTTGAGGCTCCAAATTTAAGCCTGAATTAAAAAATATATATCTTTGAGGCTCACATTATTGTGAGAATTTAAAAAATACATATTTTTCAGACTCAAGATTAAGTCGTGGATTACAAAATTATTATTTTGAGAATAATCAAATTATGTGGATTTTTTTGATAATCAAAGTTAAGGCGCGAATTGAAAACATGTTGAAACTTAAAAATATTCTTTATACTAATAAGAAGTGGTGGATGTAAAATATTTTTTGTCTTAAAGTTCGACCGGTCAGAACTTTTTGTACAATGTGGATTGTATTAAAATTTTCTTAAAAAATGGTCGGGTACTTTATATGCGAAATACGGGAATACGGAATGCCAAAATCTAGCCATTCCAGAGTACTGCAAATGGGTCGCGTCCCAATTTATAATAAGGTAATGCCAAAAGATGGACCTACTTCGGAAAATTTTCCGCAAAAAATGGTCGGGTACTTTATATGCTTACTATAGCATAGCTTACTAGAAGGATGTATATTTGGTACAATGAAAAACCAAACCATGAAACTATCACCGGGAATGCCAAAATGTAGCCATTCCAGAGTACTGGAAATGGGTCGCGTCCCAATTTAAAATGAGGCAATGCAATTTAAAATGAGGTAATGGACTTACTTCGGAAAATTTCGCAAACATGTTTTTTAAATTACAGCCACTTCGGCGGGAAAAAGTTCTAAACCTAACCAGTAAGGAAAATTGTAAAGTCGGACTGGGCCGACTATATGATACCCTTCACCACTTTGGGTATATTGTACATATGTATCCTAACAATTGCATGTCAATGTTCCCTCTTTCTCCAACCTATCCTAACTTTAATTTCATTCGAGCAGATTTAGAGTCGTCTGCGTAACATGGGGAAAATTTATGGAAAACGATTTATAGTAAAATTGATACACGCTATTCGGTACGCCGCACAGTGGGTTAGAGTACCATGTTTTCTTGGATCAAATCAGGGAAGCTGTGTTAGAATAACTTTTCTTTATTTTTCAGTTAATACCATTAAAATAAGTTAAAATAAACATGTTTTCTAAGTATATTTGAGTATAATTTTATTAAGTAATGCCAAATATCAGTGTAGGCATATAGTGCAAGGAGTACAATATGATAACTTAAACATTGAATTTTATACATCTTAAAGTTAATCATCCACATCATCATCATCCGCAGCCAGGGATGACGAATTTTCAGGTTTTCGACTGTCAAAAAGGTGTAAACGTCGATAACGTCATATACCTGTATAAAATGTAGTAAACGTCATTTATTTCAATATTATCACCATATACAGTAATTTTCAAGAACATATATTATTTTTACTGTATATCTGGGTATTCTTTACTAGAACTGATAAAAAAATCTGAAATCTGAAATCGTGAATAAAAAACTTGTGCAAAGTGGTAGGCTTATTATACCAAGGATACGTTTCAACAAAAAGTCGTCCTGTATTGTGTGCATATATTTGAAATTTTTCATTATTAATCTCATGGCCACTGGATACTGCTATAACCGACACGTGCATTTTTTATTAAATTAACATATATTTTTGTTATTTCGGCAGATTTTTTTAGCGTTTTTGTGAATTTTTTTGATTTCTTTAGCTAAAAATGTCATCTTGTCATTCATTGTTTGAGCGCTCGAATTCATCATAAGCTTCGACGATTATAAAAAACAACGTTCGAACTTGTATCTATAAAAAATGCTAATAAAGAACCCTTTTACCCGACTACTTGAAACTACACAACACAATCACTATTTGTTAAAACAATGAATATTATTAAAATAAACAAAAACAAAATATTATTGTAACAAAGAATATTATTAAAAGAAACAAAAATAACAACAATAAAATAATTAGAAAAAATAACATGAAAAACAAGAAAACACAACACTCAACAACAGCACCAGTCACGAGATCAATGTGACTTTTAGCTAATTTGACTGCTGCAACACTTGTATTAAACAATGCATAACTTCTAAAAGGCACAAAAGGGCAGCGCAAAATTTTGCAATATAACACAGATTTATGTCCTCTTTAATATAAACCAATAATTATGACACGAATGTGGACGAATAATAACTATTTATCCAATTAAAATATAAAAATATTAATTTTTTTGGCATTTTCAATATAAATAACTAAATCTTAATCACTTCCAAACACAATTTCATACTCAAATGTTAACGAAGTATTTGCAAAATAACCTAAACTTCATGGTTCCATTGAAAAATGTTCAAATTTTACAATACTTTTTAAAATAAATAAAATTTTCAACGGGAACGTTTTCACTTTTTTCAGCCTTTTTTGGCACAAAAATTTCTATGAAGTTTGACTTTGAAGTTTCACTACAAAAACACCAGTCCACTTTTGACATTTATTTCAACGAAAAGTGATGTAGAATTTTATATACTTTAACCGTGTACAAAAATTTTTAACGATACTTAAAATTTTATTTTTTAATTAATCCAAGAAAACAGGCTATTCTAACCCACTGTGCGCCGCGTTGTTAAAAATATAACCGATTTCCACGAAATTTAACACACATCGTTTTAGACTTAATTCAGTACGCTGTGCCAAATTTCGTGCAAATTGAAGGATATATAGGGACGTTGGTGCATCATTTACATAAAATCGGACGAACATATATATGGGAGCTATATCGAAATCTCGACCGATTTTCCCGAAACACACCACTCATCATTCTAGACTCAATTTAGTACACTAAGCCACATTATGTGCAAATCGAAGCATATAAAGGGTCTTAGGTGCACTATTTACCTTCAAGTATATATAGAGACTTTGGTACACGACTTACCTTAAATTGGACGAAAATATATATGGGAGCTATATCCAAATCTGAACCGCTTTTCAGGAAACTTGACCAGAGATGGCCGTCAGAAACAGTGACGTAAATGACATACATTTCCGACGTATAATACATACGTCAGAAACGTCGGAAATCCATTAGGTTTTTGACAAAATAGCTATTTCGATTAATCAATTTGGAAATTACGCATGCTTTACTCAAATTAATATAAAATTTCAAAATTTTCTTCCCAAAAAATTTAAAAATTTACATCAGCTCTAGTAAGGAATAGGAATAGTACTGAAAATAACTGTATATGCTGATAATATTGAAATAAATGACGTTTACTACATTTATTACATTTTATACAGGTATATGACGTTTTCGACGTTTACACCTTTTTAACAGTCGAAAACCTAAAAATTCGTCACACGGACCATCCCTGAACTTGACACACATAATTGTAGACCTAATTCATTACGCTGTGCCAAATTTCGTGCAAATCGAAAGATATATAGGGACTTTGGTACACCATGTAACGTGACCGCTAAATTTTACACCACCTTATTATATACTCCTTAATATAATACTAGGATACATACATTTAAGCAACTCACTTTGCAATTATAATAACTAGATATTTGACTTCAATGAACAGTCATGGGGATATTGTTGAGATATGGGAAAATAATTCTCATTCACTTTATGTTGTCGTACAGATAAGTGTTCCAGTTTTCGTCGGCAGAAATTGTCGAGTGCTGGAGTTAGACCAAGTACGAGCGAAACCGACTTGTGGCAGTGTCCGCAGTCGTAGTACCTTGTACCGAACATAGCCGAAGCCTCCGACCTGCGATTCGTTCGCTTCCGCGATTCGTTCGCTTCCGCGACTCATTCGCTTCCTGCGATTCGTTCGCTTCCGCGATTCGTTCGCTTCCGCGATTCGTTCGCTTCCGCGATTCGTTCGCTTCCTGCGATTCGTTCGCTTCCGCGACTCGTTCGCTTCCTGCGATCCGTTCGCTTCCTGCGATCCGTTCGCTTCCTCAGAAGGAGTTTGAACGAAGGGCCCCACCGACTACATCAACCTGAGCCGACTACATCAAACCGAGCCGACTACTACAATTCCGAGCCGACTACATCAACCCGAGCCGACTACTACAATTCCGAGCCGACTACTACAATCCCGAGCCGACTACTTCAACTCGAGTCGACTACATCAACCCGAGCCGACTACTTCAACCGAGCCGACTACTTCAACCCGAGTCGACTACTTCAACCCGAGCCGACTACTTCAACCGAGCCGACTACATCAACCCGAGCCGACTATCTCAACCCGAGCCGGCTACTTCAACCCGAGTCGACTACATCAACCCGAGCCGACTACATCAACCCGAGCCGACTACTTCAACCCGAGTCGACTACATCAACCCGAGTCGACTACTTCAACCCGATCCGACTACATCAACCCGAGCCGACTACTTCAACCCGAGCCGACTACTTCAACCCGAGTCGACTACATCAACCCGAGTCGACTACATCAAGCCGAGCCGACTACTTCAACCCAAGCCAACTACTTCAACCCGAGTCGACTACATCAAACCGAGTCGACAACATCAACCCGAGCCGACTACTTCAACCCGAGTCGACTACTTCAACCCGAGCCGACTACATCAACCCGAGCCGAATACCTAAACCTACACAACCGAAGCCGACTATACAAATACAGCTGAGTGCCACAATCGGAGCCTACTAGCTATAATTAGAAGCCGATTACAGTCACCCCATCAGCCCGACGGAACGATTCCCAACACACCGAAACGACAACCAACGAATAAATAACTCCATCGTTTTGAAGATCCCGCATGTTACTCTCTATCTAAACACAGAAGTATTACAATAAAGAATTTAACTTTTACAACTCGTGTTTTTAACTTAAGGTTTGTGGGTCCTTGAGTTGACCCTGGCTGCGACTGAGCTCACTTCAGCCTTAGACAAAACCACTCGTTATAACCATTTACCTTAAATCGTACGAAAATATATATGGGAGCTATATCCAAATCTGAACCGATTTTCACGTAACTTAACAAACATCATTCTAGACCGAATTTATTACGCTGTGCCAAATTTCGTGATATATAGGGATAAATATGGGAGCTATATCTAAATCTGAACCGATTTTTCCCAATTTCAATAGGGTTCGTTCTTGGGCCAAATAAGTGACCTATGCCAAATTGCATCCAATTCGGATTATAAATGCGCCCTGTACTTTGTTTACAATTTAACGTCGACAGACAGAAGGACGGACATGCATAAATCGACTCAGAAAGTGATTCTGTGCATATTCTCAAAAGGAACCATGTGTCTATCTCGTTTCCTTTTGCCTGTTTTGCAAACATATGCACAAAGACATAATACCCTGTACCACAGAGTGGTGAAGGGTATAAAAAGAACCCAGACAATGCGTCTAAAACCATCAAAATAAAGAAGTTAGAGGAGTACTTTCATATGAGGTCTATGTGCAAACCTTCTCCTTGACAATTTTCTGTACAAATGTCATTCTCCAAAACCCCACAAAAACCGGCATTAATAGATTTTATTGGGAAAATTCGACACACCATAAAAATCAAAAGTTTGAAATTGTAGTCAATTTGATGGAAAAACGTGGAATTTTTACCTAATGAGAATCTAAAATATCAAATTATAGCAAATTATACGAATTTCTCTGATAATTTTTTAGCACTTCAACTTGGCATTTTTTAAATTTTTTAGCACTTTCTAGCACCTTTTTAAACAAAGTCTAGCATTTTTTATCAACAAAGTTTTGGCAACACTGTCGACAATATTCCACATTCTTCATTCGGAAAGAGTTCAATACTCGACGATTTGACTAGCACATCTGTTCATACACGTTTCAATATTAATCTTAGTTTCCATTTTAACTGACTATTATTTGTTAAAAAAAAAAAAACAATAAAATAATTTCAACAGTGTTTGTACAATTTATGTAAATTTAGTATTAATTTGTATATAAACCCGCAACATTGTTAGTGAACTCTAATTCAAATGTTAAATTCTTTATTTTATTTTTTTTTTTTTTTTTTTGAATATTTACATGGGCTCAGGTAACATTCGTTTGCAGGCCTTTTTAAAATACGCACACATTGTTGCCGCCATGACCTATTGAGTGTTTCGTCAAATTCCATTGCTGTTTTATTCCCCTGCCTTAATTGATTTCAAGAATGCATATCATTATTTTTTATAAACTAGCCCGATTGTCTGCCTGTTCCCATTATCAAGTTCAATAGTCTTTATTTGTTACCCAAGCGCATGTGACCGACTCTGATCGATCAGTCAAGTTGAAGGCTCTATTCGGAACAGAAGTTTTTTTCGGGCAGTGAAATTTCCGTATACAAAAAAAGAAAAAGCAACATGTTGATATTGAAATTAATCTATTGGAATTTAAAATCGCATTTTGAACTAGCAGGCAATGGTAATTAAAGGACATGGATGGTGTTAAAACGATGCATTTTTGTGATTTATGTGAAATTTTGTGTTTACAGATCCACGAATGCACCATTTATTCTTTGTGAACAGTTACCGAAATGTATTGTTACTTATCGCAGCATATATTGTGTTTGTAAAGAAAATCGGTCCAGCGTTAATGGCCAAGCGGAGACCATTTGAAATTAAGCGCCTAATACAACTCTACAATCTTGGACAAATTCTATTAAATACCTATGTTTTTATTGGGGTAAGTAAATGAAGATGTTTGCAAAATTGGATAGATTTTTTTAAAGGAAGCTTCGGAAGAATCTCTTAAAATTAAATTTAAAATTTGCTCTATATCGCACCTTCCAAAGTGTAGAAAATGGAATCGCAACTCTTCATCAACTGTTCATCTTTGATGAAGAGTTGATGACTTAAGACTTAATTAAACGCTTTGTCAAATTCCGTGCAAATCGAAAGATATATAGGGACTTTGGTGCACCCTTTACCAAAAATCGGACGAAACTATATATGGGAGCTATATTTAAATCTGAACCGATTTTCACGAAATTTAGCACACATTGTTCTAGGATTAATTCAGTACGTTATGTCAAATTTCGTGAAAATCGATGGATATATAGGGACTTGGGTGCACTATTTACCTAAAATCTGACGAAAATATATATGGAAGCTAAATCTAAATCTGAACCGATTTTTTCCAATTTCAATAGGGTTCGTCCTTGGGCCAAATAAATGAGCTGTGGCAAATTTCATACAATTCGAATCAAAAATGCGACCTGTACTTTGTTTAGAATTTAACATGGACAGACGGACAGGAGGAGGGACGGACGGACATGCATAAATCGACTTAAGGCCCCCCCCTCCTTTCTCGGGGTCAAAAATTGTTTTGATATAATTCGAATCTTCATTAATTCTAGAATGTCTTTACAAAATTTCAAGGGAAAATCTCAAGAACTCTTCAAGATATAGCCGATTTATTGTGTCAGCCTTAAGGGAACCCCACCCATTCTCGATTTTAATTTTGCAAGATTTTCAATGGGCTGGTAAATCAATACCAATGCTTGTTAAGGTTTGTAGCTTTACACATATATAATTGAAGATTTAAAATAGAAGAAAAATAATTTACAAAAAAATTTTGTTATTGTTTTGTTGTTGTTTTTTGTAATTAAAGAAAAGTCCTTATTTTTGATGGCGGGCATGCTAACTCCTCACTGGAACATCGGAATCCGAAAATTCCAACGGTGTTAGAAAGAGTACATGTCTGGCTCTCGTATGAACTAGGATTATTGACTTCGCTCTAAAATTAACAAAATGGTGGACCTTTGAAAAAATATGTTTGGAAAATCGCTGATTTTTTACCAAAGTCCAAGTCAAAAAATAAGGAACATCTTCACCGATTGGCTTTATCCTAGTTCATACGATAGCTATACACTCACAGAGAAACGTGTAAAAATTTGAAATCGATTGGGTTATTAGTTTTTGAGTTATCGTGCCCGCCATTCGCAAAAAAATGTTTAGAGAAAAACGCGTTTAAAGTTTGAGAAGCCCTTCAGCCGTCACTTGATGCTGACACAATAAATCGGCTATATCTTCAAGAGTTCTTGAGATTTTCATTTGAAATTTTGTAGGGACATTCTTTAATTAGTGTAGATTCGAATTATATCAACAAAATTTTTGACCCCGAGAATGGGGGGGGTCCCCTTAAGTGACGGCTAAAGGCTTCTCAAACTTTAAACGCGTTTTTCTATTTTGCGAATGGCGGGCGCGATAACTCAAAAACTAATAACCCAATCGATTCCAAATTTTTACACGTTTCTCTGTGAGTGTATAGCTATCGTATGAACTAGGATAAAGCCAATCGGTGAAGATCTTCCAAATTTTTTTAACTTGGTTTTTGTTCAAAAATCGGCGATTTTCCAAAAATATTTTTTCAAAGGTCCGCCATTTTGTTAATTTTAGAATTTTTAGAATTTAATTTTTCCATAATCCTAGTTCATACGAGAGCCAGACATGTACCCTTTCTAACACCGTTGGAATTTTCGGATTCCGATGTTCCAGTGAGGAGTTATCATGCCCGCCATCAAAAATAAGGACTTTTCTTTAATCACAAAAAACAACAACAAAAAGTTTTTGTAAATTATTTTTCTTCTTTTTTAAATCTTCAAATATATATGTGCAAAGTTACAAACCTTAACAAGAATTGGTATTCATTTACCAGCCCATTTAAATTCTTAAAAATAAAAAATCGAGAATGGGGGGTTCCCTTAAAAAGTAATTCTTTACATATTCTCAAAGGGAACCATGTGTCTATCTCGTTTCCTTTTGTCTGTTACAAACATATGCACAAAGACACAATACCCTGTACCACAGTGTGGTGAAGGGTATAAAAATGTCTGCTACAATATTTAACTTCATATTCCATAAGGAAATTGACTTTTAACCGCTATTAAGTGGTAAAAAATACCGGTGGATGTTTTTCACTGTGAGGTTGCAATTGCCATTGACACGCCTTCTCTGTAAGTTTGAAATTCAGATCACAATAAAGTTAATAGGGCTACAAAAAAATGCCTAGCGTTAAAATACAGCTTTCTGTGCAATTTTTATTTAATGTCAAGAAATACACACATGATATAAAAAAGAGGGTTGCCAGCAAAAAAAAAAAAAAAAATCATATCATATCTTCGAAATTTGGCCTATGGCGATTTTTTACTTCTAAGGGTGTTCATACACTCAGGAATTTTCCAACCCCAGACAATGATCTCAATTTTGTCTCACAGTGTAATTAATTTGTTAACATTCCATAATATTTTTTGTGCATATAACAATATATTTATTGACGGAAATTACTTATTAATTTGTTCCTTAATAATTTATTTCGAAACATTCCTCGATTATACATTGCGTAAATATATATATATATATATATATATTCGTAAATGCAAACGGACGTAACTACAGAAAATTCGAAATTTACTTTTTGTACGTCAAAAATTGAAATTGAAACGGACGCAGAGTGGGTTGAGCGGTAGGCAAAATGGCGATTAATTCAGGAAAGCCGTAATTTTAAAATATTGTTATGTTTTATTGATGGATATTCATATATACATAAAAAAGCATAATTAGAAAAACAAACAAAATTAAAAAAAAAATTTGTTTTAATATTTTATGGCCTTTTTTGTATTTGGGAAAAAGTGGTCTTATATCACAATTTTCGCTATAACTAATCAAAGAAAAATGATAAATTCGGAAATGCAATTAAAAATTAGAGCATACTTAATGTACTTTTAGAAAAAAAGAATTTGTCTTAAAAAATAAAAATTAATAAATATTTAATCTGTATTTATATACCCAAAATAAATGTAAATAAATAAAATCAGTTTTTTTCTTCAAATCCATAATTCCAAATATTTAAAAAAAGTTACATTAGAAAATATTATTATATCTTATTGATCAATATTCATAAACAAAAACCATAGTATAAAAATAAAACAAACAACCATTACAGGAAAAAAATTTAAAAATATATAATTGCACGGTTTTTTATTTACTTCATTTCATTAATTTTAACAGTATTATTAATTTCATAATCATAATTTACTTCACAACAATTATAAAATTAATTTACTTAATAATAATCATTTACTTGTTAGACATCATACAATTCGTTAAAATAATCTTCATCTTCGTCACCATTATCATTTTCCTTTTGGATAAGTCCAAAGCAGTCTGAGACATTTGCTGTATTTTCTTTTTACAACTCTTCCTCATGCTCGAAATAAATGGATCTGAACTTAAAAGAAATCTATTAAAGAAGTCTTCTATTGTATTTTCCCGACTGAATTTACTGGAAAAGTGGTCCCAATAGTTTTTGAAGTCCTTATTTCTGGCTTCCTGAGATTCTTCATTTAGCTGAGTTATTTTACAAATTCTTTAATAAGTCAAAAAATGCTGCAATGCGGCAAAAAGTTATTCTGTAATTTATATGCTTAAACTTCATATTTTAAGAATATATAAGCAGTTTTACTAAGTTTCACCGATAATTCAGTTGAAATCCAATACAAACATCAAAAATACTTCAATTTTGGAGCAATTTCCTTACTATTTATTTTTATATTTCCAAAACATTTATCTAAACAAACAAATATTTTCATATGCTCAAACACCTGAAGTAGACGGCTCCATAATAAAATTTTCACTTTAGAAGTCTTAATTAAAAAAATTATTACTGGAAATATGCAAATGTTTACTTTTAACCAATGCGCGCAAAAATAATAAAAATTACTGAAATTTTAAGACACACTAAATATAAAGTAAACAACTAAGAACTTTTATTTTGGCAATTAGTGATGTAGAATTTTATCTTCTTTCATCCGTTACCAAAAACGGTTATTAAAGTTAAAGTTCATTTTTTGAATTAATGGCCACTTTGCCGTCCCACGCGGTAGGCAAAGTGGCCATAACTACAATAGTATATTTTTATTAATGCAAACAGGCATAACTACACTCCTGTAAAAAACTAAAGCTCGCAATATTGGAGATAGAAATTCTGAACTTATATTAATGTTACTTCTTAGATGTTTGGAATTGAAAATGAGATAAATCATGCCCTATATATCGGTACCCCAAATTTAAGGTTTATCTTAATTTTTAACGAATCAGCTATAATTAGGTATTTTTTCCCCCACTGGGTGGAAAAGTGCCTTATGCAAATTTTTATCGCTATCGCAGAAATATTTAATGTATTTAGTGCAACATTTACATAAAATCGGTAGAAAATGTATATCACGAATTCCACAAAAAGGTCAACCACACAGGTGAAAAATCGATTCGTTAAGAGAGATATAAAATTATATAGAAAATATTCTTTGCAATCCGGACAATATATTTTTAGTTGAATTTTGAAAAATAACCGTAGTTTTTCTTTTCGTTGTACCATTTTCGCGTGGAGAGTAACTTGGGCATATTTTTATTAGTTTTAGAGTGTAATTTGTCGTAAGTGTGAACGCTGTTAGCTAAAACAATATCAATAATAAATATTAAATTCAAATAAAGTAATATCTTACTAAGAATTACATATATATAAACCTATACATATACCAAGAGAATCCCGTGGTAAGTGCAGTTAAATAGTGTAAGAAAATATGTAACGCGTGCGTGACAAAATTAGCATATGTTTCTATACAGAACCTAATATGAAAATTTTTTTTTTGATAATGCTGTTATGTGTGGATCTTGAGATGACAA